TGTCTCTCTCTGTCCCAAAAATAAAATAAAACGTTAAAAAAAAACAAAAACCTCTTCTATTAACTCAAACTATTATTTTTCCAGTAAAGACTAAAATATAGTTTATATATAACCTATAAAGTCTCAGACCAAGGAAATAAAGATTCTATAAATTATTGTATCTTATTAAGTGGACCACAAACTGGAACATATAAATCTTAGAATTATTACAAACATTTGCAAATTAGGGGGGCCTGGGTGGCTCAGTTGGTTAAGCATCCGACTTCGGCTCAGGTCATGATCTCACAGTTCGTGAGTTGGAGCCCTGCATCAGGCTCTGTGCTGACAGGTGACAGCCTGGAGCCTGCTTGGGATTCTGTGTCTCTGTCTCTCTCTGCCCCTCCCATGCTCGTGCTCTCTCTCTCAAGAATAAACATTATACATTAAAAAATAATAATAATAAATTTTGCAAATTAGATTTTCTTGTTCTATCCACTAGAACACATTCAGATGATTTGAAATCATTGTTATTTTATGTGTGACTTCAGACTACAAAATAGCTTGAGGAGAAGGAAGTGTTTTTCATTTCTTGGCTATTCATATTATATTCAGCACAGTGGTTTAGACAAATAAGCAATTAATAGATGTTTTTAAAGTCTGAAAATCCAAAGAAATGAATGGCATTCTCAAAATGGTCTCAACATACTTCATCAACAAAGTAAAATATTGTTTATCCTAGGACTTAGAAAATTAAGTTCAACCAGACAATTGATTGAATAAAGTTAATGTTACAATAGAAATAATGCTAAAGTATCACAAAATTTAGAACTAAAAACATTCACCTGGTTTCCCCCATCCCCTTTAAATCTTCTGAAATTTTGCTATAAATAATAAGCTAAATTTATTTTTCTCCTAACATCTACCCAAATATCTGAAAATGACTTTTTAAATAAACCAATTCTTCATGTATGTGGCATTTATTGCATCATATATTGATAAATATAATAGGCTTTATCGGTATTAAAGACTATTTCAGGATTACCTATTAAGTTTTGAGTGTTTCTTTTTTGAACCAGTACCACAGTATTTTGGTAATTGTACCTTTGTAATCCCCTTTAACATCTGGTGGAGCTAATTTCTTCCATTCTTATATTTTATTTATCCTCCAAAAACCTTAACTACTAGTTTACTAAGTTAGTTAAGATACTGTGTTTTGAAGTTAGGTAGGTTTAGGTTCAAATACTCCCTCTACCATTAACATTCAGCATCTTAGACTCTCCATTTACTCATCCAGAAACTTAGAGTAGGGGTGCCTGGATGGCTTAGTAGGTTAAAGGCCTGACTTCAGCTCAGGTCATGATCTCACAGTTCATGAGTTGGAGCCCCACATCAGGCTCTGTGCTGACAGCTGAGAGCCTGGAGCCTGCTTTGCATTCAGTGTCTCCCCCCCACCCCCCTCCCCACCCGTCCCCAGCTTGCACTCTGTCTCTCTCTCAAATATAAACATTAAAAAAAACATTCAGAAACTTAGAGTAATAAAACATACAGTGATATGGGATGAATAAATTTTTCCCATAAATGAGACAGCATAACACCAAAAACTTGATTAATGATAAGCATTGCTCATAATATTGTTGAAGTCAGGCACGAATACTATTTTTTAACTTTTGTCTATTGTTTAAAGTATTCTTTAGATTTTTTTAATGACTGGATTTGCTAATGAATATTTGATGGGGGAAATCATAACTTTATATAACATGGAGTTCTTTGTGTCTCTCCCCTGTACACAGCTTTTTTAAATGCCTTAATGCAAAGTTTTTCAGTGATGACGTATTTTTCATTTAGGTGGTTCTTACATATGCTTTTATTCTTATTTTAAGTGGAATTTCTTTTTCTCAGATATTTTTGAAATGTTTATTGCTGATATATAGGAAAGTAGACTAAAATCTATCACTTGACTGATTTCTAATTTTTGAGTATCTTTTTAATCATATTTCCCAGAGTGAATTAAGAATGTTTTCTAAACTTTAAAGTAAAAATCATAAAGAACAAGACTAATAGATGCATACACTTAAGAAAAAAGAGAGGGAGAGACATTTTTGCCCTACTAAGTTAGAAAAGAGAAAATGAGATGGAGAGCCAGAATGAAACACCTAATGTAGCCACCAAGGTGTTAGTGGAATAGAAATTCGCTGCCAAAAAGAAGATACCCCGGAAAAACTCTTTAAGAGATTTACTGAATGCATATCAAAAGTCTTAAAAATACTAATATCCTACAATTCAATAATTCTACTTTTTACAACTGGCTAAGAAAACATAAGGTGCCAGAAATCTTTATATGCAAACACTCAAACTATATGCACGCTTTTTAATACCGAAAAATGAAAACAAAAAACAAAAAACAAAAAACAAAATATACCAAAATGGGAGAATTTTACTTTGTAACAACTCAATTTATTTTTGCCAGCTTACTCATTTTATGAAATAACCTAAACTTAATAATCCTCCTCTTGGACAATTCACTGATCCTATCAACTTTTCACTGTCCCCACTCTGATGTGCTCTCTTCCCTCTTTACAAAGTTTAATTTCCAATCATCATAGATGATCCCTTGCCTTTATCCTCCCCTTTGCCCACTCTCCCTTAGGAGTTAGCACATTTGCCTGGTAAAACAACTACTGAGTCAACATACTGACAACTCTGTGTCTGCACCTATGCTGGTAAATATGACTGAAGAAAAATAAAAACCATGATGTTTATTTAAATTAACCATCACTAAATTCAGTTGGACTCTTATTTATTTCCTTAGTCTGTTCCTTCTCTCACCCTCTCAGATCACTGTTTCCTACTTGGCACCTCTTTCTTCAAACCAGCAACCCTCCACCCCACTGTCACTCTCAGTTGATAATCTTATTTCTAATTTCACTAAAATAATTGAAGCAATAACAGAACTTTGCAAACTCCCACAACCACATCCTACATCTTACCTACATTTTTCCCATATATTTTAGATTCTCTCATTATTGTGGATTAACTATCCATGTTAGTAGACCAAATCTCCTACCTATGAGCTAAATCCTAAACCCTGATGACTCCAGCAATTACCCCTGAATTCGCCCATCATGAATTTTTCCTACTCGGTTATCACCATAAAAATGTGGTTATTTCTCCCATCTTAACAAAAAGTAAAGAAAAACCAAAATTTCCTCAATGTCGTGACCCTCTCTCTAAGCTCCTGTCCCATTTTTCTCTTCTTTATAGCAAATCTCTGAAAGGTATCGATACTCCCTATCTCCAATTTTTTCTTGTTTCATTCAAATTTTAGTTCTCACCACTTCTCTGCTCTTTTCCAGTTTATCTCCATGTTGATAAATTCATTTGTTTCTCCATTTCCAGCTCACAAGAATACTCCTTAGCATTGACACAGTAAAATCATTCTTTTTGAAACACTCTTTTCTCTTCGCTTTTAGGATACTATACCTCCCTAGTTTTCTCCAGGTTTGCTCTCATCTTTCCAACTTAAATGTTGGCTTACTCTCAGGCTCAGCTCTTGAACTCTCTTCTCTATTTCATTTACACTCATCCCCCAGGTAATCTCATCCACTCTCATGGCTTTTACTGTCATCATTCTGTCAATAACTGCAAAATTCATATTTTAAGTCTGTCCTCTCTTAAATTCAACTCTGAATATTCAAGGCTCTACTTGAATATCTCCTAGGCTTCTGATACTTAAAATATCTCAAATTGGGCTCCTGATATTCGTCCCCAAACCAGATCCTCCTGTAGATTTCTCCATCTCAAGTAGTGGAAACTCCATTTTTCTACATACTAAAGCCAAAATGCTCACTTCCTAACCCTCTCACACCTCCACAATCAACTTGTCAGCTTTATCTTTAAAATCTATTCAGAAAACAATCACTTCTTACCAAGTCAGTACAAGCCACCATCATCTCTTCCCTGCAGTACTTCATCAGCCTCTACTTAGTTTTCCTGTCCCCTGCAATCTACTCCCAACACAGCAGCCAGAGGGATCCAATGAAAACTTCAGTCAGATCTTCTCTTCCTCCACTAATACCCCAAATGGTTCTCCAAATTAAAAGCCAAAGTCTTCACATGTTCAACAACCTACACTATCTGCATTGCACAACGTCTTACCTCCTGTCACTTTCCTCATCATGCATATTGTCCCATCCACCATGGTCTCCTTATTATTCCTCATGGGGTACAGTCCTGACCAGATTCTGCTCTCCTTCAAGATACCTATATATCTAGCTCTCTCACTTCCTTCAGATCTTTATTCAAAAATAATCTGGTCAACTTCTCTAAATTTTTAATCCAAAAACTACCATTTTATTCTCCCTTACCTGAGGGTTTTTTTTTTTCCTCCATTTAACACTTATCATCTAAAATATTACATATTTTACTTTTTTGTTTATTGTCTGACTTCCATACTAGAATGCAAGCTCCATGAGCACATAAATTGGTATATATCAGAAACACATATCTAGTGCCTGGAACACTGCTTGGACATGTAGTAGGACCTGCAAGTATCTTTTAAATGGATGACTTCTTGAATAAATCCCTTTGGATATTATTACATAGCCATTAATTTTTTAATGAAGTTTGTGATGCTACAGAAAACTGGGCATTCAAATCCTTCTCATATCACAATGCATTAAGTCTCTTTTGGAAAGCAGCACAGTGCATACACTGAGGAATATATATGGGTCTTAGTAAAACATAAATCAGAATTCAAATCCTTGACTTTCACCATTTCCTAGCAATGTGACCACTAGCATATTTTTGAGCTTACTGAAGCTCAAAAAGATGAGTTAAGAACCTTCTCATGAGGTTATCAGAAGAGTAAAAGTAGATGATGCCTGTAAAGGACCTTTTACATATTAAGTGTTAAATAAATGTGTCATTACTATAACACTTCACACTGACTGTTAAATATAATTCCTGGGTAATTCAGATAACATTTATTTTTTTATGCCAAGCAGTGAATACACAGTGTTTTTACATTATTCTCTGTTTTCCAGCATATCTAGAATACTTCATAATTTAACTTCTGGCTAAAAACCAGTCAGAATCTCTAACTCCTCCTATTTGTAGGGCTTAAAACTCTATGTTCCTAAAGCACAAAATTTAAATATGAATATTAGATTATTAATTCATATGTCAGTCTTAAATAGAGTGAGGGAATAAAGGTTTTTCTTTTTTAAAGATTTGTGAGGTACCCTAATATAAGCTAGAATTTTAATATTTCTTACCTCCTCCCCCTCAGGTGGAACATCAATAGATTGGAAGAAGATACTGATAAAGCTGTTTCTATTAACAAAAAATTTCACACAATAAAATGTAAGATTCTCCATATGAAACCATTATTAACAAAATCTTTCTAGAATACTTCGAGAGGGGGTAGAAAATACTTAAAAGTTACATTTTCATCAGAGAGCTTCCAGATACAACTCTAATAATAAAAAGTTAACAACCCCAAGGTCTTAGAATTTAAAAAAAAAAAAAAAAAAAGGAAACCTTAACACATCAATGGCTGTAAAAAATGGCTTGTGTAAAAAACAGTGTAAGATTCTCTCCGAAGGCTTTTGAGGAGGACCAAGGCAAGAAAGCACTAGTTTAAGAGAACTCATTTATTGGCACAAGGGACCTTGGGGGGAAGGGAAAAGGGAATGATTAAGTAAGTGGCACATCCCTTTGGAGAGAAAGGCTCAAATAATACATGGATAACTAACTGTAAATGAGATGGTCATCTGATTATGACTGAGATGAGTTGCCAGGTTCAAGTAAAACATCAGAGACTCAAGCTTATATAAAGTAAAACAAAAAGTAGAGTACAAAAATTATTGTGGCTTTGTCCTTTGGGGGGCAGGAGTGAAGAAAGAGATGAAAATGGTACAAGAGTAAGAAAAAAACAACATGGAAACAAAATTTTATAAAAGAACAAACTACCTGACATCAACAGACTTTATTTATCCAATGTGTTGACTAACTTTTTGAACTTTCATTTTCCCCCACCGAGATTCTTCTCTATAAATACTTATGCCATCTGTTTTTCCCTAAGACACATGGAGCTGGCATTCAAAAGTATTCTGTGAGGTATATGAACTATAAAACTTCCCCGAAAACTCAAGTTTGAAAAAAAATTCAAATACAAGATAAACTGTGCTAAAGATCTTTCTGAAAAGGCCTCTTGGTATTACTACTATTCATGCCATTTAAGTTTAGAAGAAATTTCTTTAAGAGCAAAGATGGTTCAGGGGCGCCTGGATGGCTCAGTCAGTTGAGGGTCCGACTTCAGCTCAGGTCACCATCTCACGGTTCGTGAGTTCGAGCCCCGCGTCAGACTCTGGGCTGATGGCTCAGAGCCTGGAGCCTGCTTCCGATTCTGTGTCTCCCTCTCTCTCTGCCCCTCCCCCATTCATGCTCTGTCTCTCTCTGTCTCAAAAATAAATAAACATTAAAAAAAAAATTTATAAAAAAAAGAGCAAAGATGGTTCATAGATCTGTGATTTTTTTTTTTTTTTTTTTTTTTGCAATCACATAGCATGGTGAAATGAACAGGATGGCTTCCCATCCTCAGATTCTTGATTTGCAGTTCCGAATATTCGTGGTGTGCGATAACCCATACTCTCTCCCCACTCATCAGGATGACGTACTTTTCCACTTTCAGTAGGTTGAAGTGGAGGGTATGATTTAATATTACTCTTACTCATGGTACCTAAAAGAAAAGCAAATGGTAGAGCAGCAGTTGGGTGACAGAATTTTTTAAAAGGAGGGAAAAACATCCACACAGGTCTTTTCCTTCTCTCTCTCAAAAATGTAGAAGTATCTATTTCCAATTGACAGGGAATACTGATAGAAATGAAAATAAAACACCTAGAAAAGGGAGACAGATGAGAAAGAGGTCACAAAGAAAAATAGGAGTGGTTGTCTCCAAAGAGGCTTTTGAGGAGGACCATGGCCAAGAAAGAATGCCAATTTAATAGAACTCATTCCCTTAATTGTAAAAAGGGCCTGTGGAATGTGAGTAATGAAGTGGTATTTTACAGCAAAGGTGAATTAAGACATGGCTAATTAAGTATAAGTAAGGTGATTAATCATCTAATGCCTTGCCAGGTCTAAATCAAAACTCAGACACATTAAAAGAGTTAAAAAAAAAAAAAAGGTGGGGACACTCACAAAACTTATTTTATTTGCATGTGCGTGTGTGTGTGTTAAGGGGGAGAATATAGACACATAAGAAATTGGATCAGTGAGTCACTGAGTTCCTTCATTAACTCATGCTTCTTACTCATTATCCCCATCCTAAAATATCAGCATAAAGCCAATACAACTATCCTTAACTCCCAGCTCAAACAACGCCAAAGATCCTCAGCTTAAGAATTTCTAGCCTAAAGGGGGGACAAATAAGAATTTTAAGGTATATATAGGATTATATATCCCTTAAGTTGGCACTCTACCTATTTCTGTGGAAAGTTCAAAAGTATAACCTTGGCTTACAGATGAGAAAATTCAATTAGCCCAAGTTTCCCGCAGCTCTAAGGCAGCCATAATTAGTTCTGGTGCAACGAGTTTGATCTACCTTAGACTACACTACTGTTAATCTATGCATGTTATGGAATAACTTCTCTGCAATTTTTTAAAATATGCTTCAATGGAGTGATAATTATCTTCCCCACAGAAGTATTTTCTCCTGGTGGCCCATCAACAAATCTGGAAATAAAGCTGCTCTCACACTAGAATGAAAACCCCTTGTTACATTATTCTGGTTTTTGAAAGGTTCATTTTTAACTATAATCTAGTGGGATGGTAAATCAATTTACCAGTAAGTCAATATAAACACTATTGCTAAATTTGCTCCAGAAAATAAATATATCAAATATATCAACATAACCAATATATAGATATATATATAGATATATATATATAGATATATATATAAAAAACACTGACTTCAATAAGTTTATGTTTCGTACTTTTAAAAGTCCTGAGATGCTTACTTTAATTTCAACTTGCTCTTCCATTTCTTTAGTTTTTATTGTAGTATATTCCTTTTCAAGCCTATGAAGGAAAAAAAACAAATAAAGGTATGTTTTCACTCCCATATAGTTACTAAATTAAAAAGTTTTAAACCACATATTAACACAAAATATAATTCACTAGGTTCCCCCAACTTGTAACTTGAGATACTTCATTTTAGAAAAATCATCTGAATAGTTACATGGATTCCTACCAAAAAAAGTTACTTTACAATAACAAAAAATGAGACCCACACAAAAATGAACTTTAGAAAGTGATATATACAATGCACCAAAGAAGTGAGTTTACAGATTATATTCTAAACTGAACAGTCCTAAACTTATTAAAAGAACTGTCAGTCTTCCTCAAATTAAAATATACTGGTAGAGTTCAATTGGAATTTAACCAAAACAAGTACAAAAAGTGACTGTAAAAAACTTATAATGGGGAAAACGAACAACTCTTCTTAACAAAAGGATTCGTAAACATATAAAGAATGAGGTGAATATAAAAGTCACCACTAGAATTTCACAGCAACCCTCACAGGCAAGAAAAATCAATGGACACTAAAATTAGTGGGTAAAAGTTTAAGCATAGACTCAAAGTATCTCTCTCAGAATATTTAGAAATGACAAGGGGAAAAACAGTAAATTTGTAGTATAGTATCCTAGTAGACAGCACCTAAACCAACTGATTAAGGTTAACACCACCAATGATACATACTGACATCTTGCACCCCATTAAGATGTATCAAGAACAGTACCTCACCTCTGATATCCTTCCAAAGAATGCATATCCTCAATCTAATCAAGAGAAATCATCAAACAAACCAAAACCAACAAACCACTGAACACCTCACTTCCGAAGTATCAAGGTCATGAGGGGCACCTGGGTGGATCAGCCAGTTAAGTGTCCAAAATAAGCTCAGGTCATGATCTCACAGTTCGTGAGTTCAAGCCCCATGTCAGACTCTGTGCTGATAGCTCAGAGCCTGGAACTTGCTTCGGATTCTGTGTCCCTCTCTCTCTGCCCCTCCCCTGCTTGTGCTGTTTCTCTCTCAAAAACAAAACATTAAGGGGCACCTAGGTGGCTGGGTTGGTTAAGTATCCAACTTCGGCCCAGGTCATGATCTCATGGTCCATGAGGTCGATCCCACAATGGGCTCTGTGCTAACACCTCAGAGCTTGGAGCCTGCTTCAGATTCTGTATCTCCCTCTCTGTCTGCCATCTCCCATTTGCACTCTCTCTCTCTCTCTCAAAAATAAACATTAAAAAAAAAATTTTTTTTTAAGTATCAAAGTCACAAAAGATAAACACTGAAGAAGTATCACTAATTGTAGGAGAGTAAGAAAAAACAAACACTAGAACAAACAATCCTAAAATTTTTATAGAACCACAAAAGACCCCGAATAGCCAACACAATCAGAAAAAAGAAAACCAAAGCTGGAGGCATCACAATCCCAGACTTCAAGCTGTATTACAAAGCTGTAATCATCAAGACAGTATGGTACTGGCACAAGAACAGACACTCAGATCAATGGAACAGAACAGAGAACCCACAAATGGACCCACAAACATATGGCCAACTAATCTTTCACAAAGCAGGAAAGAATATCCAATGGAATAAAGACAATCTCTTCAGCAAGTGGTGATGGGAAAACTGGACAGCAACATGCAGAAAAATGAACCTGGACCACTTTCTTACACCATACACAAAAATAAACTCAAAATGGATGAAAGACCTAATAATGTAAGACAGGAAGCCATCAAAATGCTTGAGGAGAAAGCAGGCAAAAACCTCTTTGACCACAGCAACAGCAACTTCTTACTCAACACATCTCCAGAGGCAAGGGAAACAAAAGCAAAAATTAACTACTTGGACCTCATCAAAATAAAAAGCTTCTGCACAGCTAAGGAAACTACCAGCAGAACTAAAAGGCAACTGACAGAATGGGAGAAGATATCTGCAAACGACATATCAGATAAAGGGTTAGTATCCAAAATCTATAAATAACTTATTAAACTCAACACCAAAAAAACAAAGAATCCAGTGAAATGGGCAAAAGACATGAATAGACACTTCTACAAAGAAGACATCCAGATGGCCAACCAACACATGAAAAAATGCTCAACTTCACTCATCATCCGGGATATACAAAGCAAAACCACAAAGAGATACCACCTTACACCTGTCAGAATGGCTAACATTAACAACTGAGGCAACAACAGATCTTGGCGAGGATGTGGATAAAGAGGATCTCTTTTGCACTGCTGGTGGGAATGCAAACTGATGCGGCCACTCTGGAAAACAGTCTGGAGGTTCCTCAAAAAACTAAAACTAGAACTACCTTACGACACAGCAATTGTACACTAGGTATTTATCCACAGGATACAGGTGTGCTGTCTCAAAGGGACACATGCACCCCAATGTTTACAGCAACACTATCAACAATAGCCAAAGTATGGAAAGAGCCCAAATGTCCATCAAAGGATGAATGGATAAAGAAGTTGTGGTATATGTATACAATGGAGTATTACTCGGCAGTTAAAAAGAATGAAATCTTGCCATTTGCAACTACATGGATGGAACTGGAGGGTATTATGCTAAGTGAAATTAGAGAAAGACAAATATCATGACTTCACTCCTATGAGGACTTTACGATACAAAACAGATGAACATATGGGAAGGGAAGCAAAAATCATATAAAAACAGGGAGGGGGACAAAACTTAAGAGACTCCTAAATATAGCAAACAGAGGGTTGCTGGAGGGGTTGTGGGAGGACGAATGGGCTAAATGGGGAAGGAGCATTAAGGAATCTACTCTGAAATCATATTGCACCATATGCTAACTAACTTGGATGTAAATTTAAAAATTATTAACTAAAAAAAAAAAGAAAAATAACAAGCAAATGCAATGTACTATTTTTGCAGCTCTGCTCTAAGTGTAAAATTATCTTTACAAGATGTATAGGCCATACAAAAATTACTCCAAGTTACTCTTAGGTCTTACTGTGGACCAAAAATGTTAGTAACAAATTTAACCACTAGGTGCTGAGTGGCTCAGGTGGTTGAGAATCCTACTCTTACTTTCAGCCCAGGTCATGATCTCACGGTTTGTGAGTCTGAGCCCTACATCAAGCTCTGCATGGACACTGCAGAGCCTGCTTAGAATTCTCTCTCGGCCTCTACCCTCCTCACATTCTCTCTCTCAAAATAAACAAATAAACTTAAAAAAATTTTTTTAATAAAAAAATAAAACGTAACAAGTTTAACTACTCCTAATACTAACAAGACCAGGCCCCCAAAAACTTATATAACTACTGTCAAAAATCAAATTCTCCCTCAAAGGATAAAAAATCTATTATTTACTATAAAGTCTCATTTAACTGATAACTTTTTTTTTACTGTGATAAAATACACATAGCAAAATTTATCATCTTAACCATTTTTAATATACAGTTCAGTGATATTTAATATATTTATAATGTGCAACCAACACCACCATCATGTCCATAGTTCTTTTTTTTCATCTTATGAAACTGAAACTCTATACCCTTGAAACAATAAAATCCCATTCCTCCCTCTCACTAGGTCCTGGCAAAACCATTTTACATTGTCTCTATAAATTTGAAAATAGTAAGTATATCATATAAATGGAATCACACAGTATTTGTCCTATTGTGACTAGCTTATTTTACCCAGCATAATGTCCCCAAGTTTCATCTATATTATACCTGTGTTGAGAAACTTTTTATGTGCTTATTGATCATTTGTATTTCTTCTTTGGAGAAATGCCTACTCAAGACTTTTGCCAATTTTGAATCCAGTTGTTTTTTACTTCTGAGGTTTAGGGGTTCTCTATACATTGTCGATATTAGTCCCTCATCAGACACATGATTTGCAAATATCTTCTCTCATTCTGTGGGTTGCCTTGTTAGTCTAGTGAGAGTGTCTTGGGATGTGCAAAATGTTTTAATTTTCTCAAAGGTCAATTTGTTTATCTTTTCTTTTGTTGCCCGAGACTTTGCTGTCAAATCCAAGAAGTCATTGTCAAATGTAATTCTAAGCTTTTGTCCAATGTTTTCATCTAAGAGTTTTATAGTTTCAATTCTTACATTTAAATCTTTGATCCATTTTGACTTTTTAAATTTTTTTAAATATTTATCTTTGAGAAAGAGGGAGAGACAGAGCGCAAACAGGGTAGGGGAAGAGAGAGGGAGACATGAATCCAAAGCAGGCTCTAGGCTCAGAGCTGTAAGCACAGAGCCCAACACAGGGTTCAAACTCACAAACTGCAAAATCACAACCCAAGCAAAAGTCGGATGCTTAACCAACTGAGCTTAACCCAGGCACCACAATCCATTTTGACATATTTTGTGTATGTTGTTAAATAAGGGTCCAACTTTATTTTTTGCATGTGGATATCCAGTTTTCCCAGTATCATTTGCTGAAGAGACAGTCCTTTCCCTAGGGAATGGTTTTAGCACCTTTGTCAAAAATAATTTGATCATATATGTGAGGGGCTATTTCTTGGAGCTCTTTGGTCTATACATCTGTCTTTATTTCAGTACCCTGTTTTGATTATGATAGCTTGGTAGTAAGCTTGGAAATCAGGAGGCATGAGCCCTCAAGCTTTGTAGTCCTTTTTAAGATGGTTTTAGCTATTTGGGTTCTTTCAGTTTATTTATGAATTTTAGGATGGAGTTTTCTATTTCTGCAAAAATATCATTGGGATTTTGAGAGGGACTGCACTGACTCTGTAGGTCACGTTGGGTAATACTGATGTGTTAACAATATTAAGTCTTCTAATCAATGAACATGGAATATGCTTCCATTTATTTATGTTCTCTTTCAGAAACATTCTGCTAGTTTTCATTGCACACGTCTTTCACTTCCTTGGTTAATTCTTAAATATTTTAGTCTTGGGAAAAAAAGAAAAGAGGGAAACAAACCACAAAAGACTCTTAATGATAGAGAACAAACTCGGGGTTGACAGAGGGAGGTGCATGGGAGATGTGCTAGATGGGTGAAGGGTACTAAG